AGGCCGGCTACCCCTTCACCGAGGACATGAACGGCTTTCAGCAGGAAGGCTTTGGCTGGATGGACATGACCATCCACAAAGGTAGCGTAAGGTGCCCACCCCCATCTCCCTGGTTCTTCCTTGAAGAAAAAAAATTTACTATTACAGCCCCTCCCTCCTGCTCGCATCATGGTCAGTAAGTGTGGACACCTGGGGCTGGTCTGAGCTGGAGGGGACGTGACACCGTGGGTCTCTGGCCCCTGAGGGTGTGGATAATGGAGTCAGCTCTCTGGCCAGACAGACTTACAGATGGGGAAGCAGGCACAGGACACCCTGGGGGCCCAGGACAGGGGCTTTTGGTCTCAGCCGTACTTGGAAGGCAGAGCTTACACAGTCAGGGAAAGACAAATTCCCCCTTTCTCCAGCCCCTTCTCACTCCCTCCCTGGGCAGGGGCGAGGGGCTGTGCCTGAAATCCTCGCTCTGTCCTGCAGGCAAACGCTGGAGCGCAGCCTGTGCGTACCTGCACCCAGCACTCAGCCGCCCCAACCTCACCGCCGAGGCCCGGACATTTGTGAGCAGGGTGCTGTTTGAAGGCAGCCGCGCAGTGGGCGTGGAGTACATCAAGAACGGCCAGAGCCACAGGGTGAGCCAGGCACCCCAGGCCTAGGCAGCTCATGGCGGGTGGGAATGGGCAGTCGTCATGCTCTCGTCTCCATCGCCACTGTGGTGGGGAGTGGGCAGCGGGTGGCAATGGCCTGAAAGGTTGTTCGCAGGGCTTAGCTGGGGGTGGAGGCCAGTTTAGGCACCTGCAGAGCCTGTTGTGCCCCGGATAAGCGCCCCTGTGAGCCTGTCTGCTGCTCCCCACCTCGGCGCTGTCCCCGGGACCTTCCACACCTTTTCGGAAGTTGATAGGTTTTAAGAACCATAACTGTGCTCATACTCCATATTTCTGCACTGTGCTTTTTCCCTTAGCAGTGTGCCAGGATGTCCTGCATCCCACTGCTCGCTTTATGGAAACTGCTCATTCGAGTGCGGTTTCTCATTTAAGTCCCAAGGTCCTATTTTTAAGACCATCATTACGAACTGGCGGTCGCTGAATATTTCAGAGTATAATCATGATTTATTTATTTATTTGCACCTGTGAGAGCTGAACAAGTGGGGAGCTTTCACACAGCACCCTGGGCATCCTCTTCCCACGCGAGACCACGTTCTCAGGTTCTGTCTGGGGGGAGCTTTCACACAGCACCCTGGGCATCCTCTTCCCTCTTCCCACGCCGAGGCCACATTCTCGGGTTCTGTCTGCCTTTGGGAAGGGAAGTGTGACCTGCTGGGCCCGCTGCCTCTTCCAGGCTTATGCCAGCAAGGAGGTGATTCTGAGTGGAGGTGCCATCAACTCCCCGCAGCTGCTCATGCTTTCTGGCGTCGGCAACGCAGACGACCTCAAGAAGCTGGGCATCCCCGTGGTGTGCCACCTTCCGGGTGAGTTTCCTCCTCCACTGCTCCTGGAGGGGGTCTCTGCTAAACAGACCGGTTTATTGTATTTTATTAGTATGGACTGGGGAGGGGACAGGAGTCGGTGCTTTTCAGAACTGTCCCACTTCTCATGAGCCTGAAGGTCCCCTGGGACCCCAAGTCTTTGGGTTGCTCTCCTCCCGTCCCTGGCCATCCTATCCCACTGAGAGGAGAGGCCCTATGGCAGGGAGCATCTGCCCATAAAGCCTCCTGGACCAGGCTCCGCAGGTCACCAGGGCAGCTCTGTGCTGAGGGGTCCAGGCCTCTGTGCTTTCTATCCTCAGTCCTCCCCACTTGCTCTGATGTTAAAGATGCTAACTCAGTGCTCCTGGGTATGCTTCCCACATGAAGACAGTTCTCCAGGCCTGAAATTTATTTTACAAACTGCCTTTGATGCCCTTTGGGGCCTGTCCCTTTTGCCCTCTCTTCTAACCCAAGCTCCCAGAGGCCTGGCCGTTCTGCACTGAGGCTCCCTCCTAAGGGGTCTGTGAAAGTGCTGGGCCATGACAGTGACCTGCCCAGCATCCCCTGGATCTTGGATGAGCTCATGCAGGTCTGCACAGCATGAGGGGGCCTGCTTCCCCCGGCCAGGGGTGAGGCTGGGCTGTCAGCCATTCAGTGACAGCTTCCTGAGCAGTACCTGCTGCACACGTGGGCCCTGCCCTCAGGGAGGGTGCTGCTTGGCAGGAAGGCAACTGGATGGGTGGCTTTGGCAACATCTGAGAGGGCTGGACTTGGCCAGGAGTGCAGAATGGTGTCCCTGGGAGGTGACCCGGTGCCTGAGCAGGAACTGGCCTGCAGATAAATGGGTAGGGGAGAAGTTTTCAAAACCAGGGGGATGTTGAGAGGTCAGCTAAGCTCCCCTTGGTAGCCATTGCTCCTCACCACTCCCTTCTATTTCAGGAGTTGGTCAGAACCTGCAAGACCACCTGGAGATATACATCCAGCAGGCATGCACCCGTCCCATCACCCTCCACGCAGCGCAGAAGCCCCTGAGGAAGGTCCGGATTGGTCTGGAGTGGCTCTGGAAGTTCACAGGTTGGTAGAGATGGTCTGTGGGCATCGTGAGGTGCAGAGCAAGGGCTCTGGCCCCAGATTGCTGGTTTGAAGCTGAGCTCTGCCATTGGCCTCAGCTCTATGAGCCTCAGCTTTCCCATCTGAAAAATGGGATACACAGTTCCTGCCTGATGGGCTGGTGTGAGGACCAGACTCAGTAGCACAGGGCCTGACCCGGGGGAGACTCCTCAAGGCTAGGTGCTGCTCTTCCCTGCAGATGGATGGGGAGGGCCGTGTGCTGAACACCATGAGGTGGCCAAGGAGCCAGGAGAAAAGGCACTGGGTGCTGGACTATAGAATCAGCACCCATTGCTTAGTTAGAAAACAAATGGAGAAAGTAGAGGAGAACCAAGATGGTGGCATAGGTAAAGGTGGTACTCGCCGCTCCCACAACCACATCAAAATTACAACTAAAATACAGAACATCACTCAGAACCACCCGAAAGCTGGCTGAAGGGAAGTACTACAACTAGAGAAGTAAAGAAAACAGCACAGGGAGGCTGGTAGGAGGGGCGGAGGCACGGAACGGCCGGTCTGACACCCATGTGTGGCACCTTTTTTCAATTGGGAGGAATAGCTCAGCTGCAGAGGTCTCCCGTGAGGAGCAAGGGGTCCCAGCCCCATACCAGACCCCCAGCCCAGGGTTCCAGAGCTGGGAAGAGAAACCTCTGTAACTTTGGGCTGTAAAAACCAGCGGGGATTGTGGCTGAGTGACAAGGAGGCAATTCCTCTTAAAGGGCCAGCACATGAACTTACACAGACTCGCTCCATCTGAGCTTGGTGCTGGGGCAACGGCTCTGGGGGAGCCAGGGACTTATGAGGAGGAACTGGATTGCCTAGTCTCTGAGCAAGAACTCAGGGGTGCTCGCAGGGGTCACTGTTCCTGTGCTAAGACCTCCCATTGCAGAGCTGACTGGCAGCGATATCTGAGTTTCCATCAGCCTAGCCAATATCGTTTGCTCTGCCCTGGTGATTCCCTGAGACCCCGCCACATCCAATTTGCAGCAGCTTTTCCATATGAATGGCCTGTCCTGGCTCAGGCATCAGACTTATCTAAAATCTCTCAAGCAAGCAAGAGCTGGTGTCAGCGTGCCCAATACCTATGCATAAGAGGCCCAAGACAGTTTGGCCTCACCTGGGCACTTCCGGACCCAACACAAGTGGCGGCCACCTGTAGGTCGCTCTGTGGCTCTTGCAAGGTGGCCTCAGGCAGCGGCTGACTTTGCACCTTTCGGGAGACCCCACAGCCAGTGCACCCACTGGACAGCTTCAGACCATGCCAGGTTATAACTACACATCCACAAGCAGCACACACACGGACACTCAGCACCAAAGTCCCACTGAAGCAAGTCCTGCTCCATAGGGCTGTCTCCTGCATAGCAGCTCTCCCACTGTAGTCACAGCTGATCCTCACAGCCAATTGGCCAACAGCAATTAAGACTCAACTACAAGACGAGGTGCACCCTTTGTGGGCTGTGTGCACAAAGTGCCCAGCTCAGGTGACTGGGGAGGCTGAGCCACTAGGCCAGGGGTGGGCAAACTTTTTGACTCGAGGGCCACAATGGGTTCTTAAACTGGACCGGAGGGCCGGAACAAAAGCATGGATGGAGTGTTTGTGTGAACTAATATAAATTCAAAGTAAACATCATTACATAAAAGGATACGGTCTTTTTTTTTTTTTTTTAGTTTTATTCATTTCAAACGGGCCGTAGTTTGCCCACGGCTGCACTAGGCCCTACAGGACACCTATTGGACAAGGCCACTCTGCCAATTCCAGGAGAAGAGTAGCTTTACATAATACATAGAAACAAACACAGGGAAGCCGCCAAAATGCAGAGACAAAGAAACATGTCACAAATAAAAGAACAGAAGAAATCTCGAGAAAAAAAACTAAATGAAATGGAAGCAAGCAAACTATAGGTACCATCAATTGCATTTATGGGGGCGCTGGAAGCAGAAGAGAGAGAGCAAGATACTGTAACCTATTTGAAGAAATGACAGAAAACTTCCCCTTCCTGGTGAAAGTAATAGACTTACAGGTCCAGGAAGTGCAGAGAGTCCTAACCAAGAGGAACCTAAAGAGGCCCACACCAAGACACATCATAATTAAAATGCCAAGGGTTAAAGACAAAGAGAGAATCTTAAAAGCAGCAAGAGAAAGACAGCAAAAGCATAAAAAAAGATAAAAATATAAAATGGTAATACATATCTTTCAACAATTGAGTCTGAAAAGAAAAATGAACAAAGAATCTAATGAAAAAATAGACTCAGAGGCATGGAAACAGGGAACAGACTGACAAATCTGGGGCGGTGGAGATTAACCAAAGAACTTAATATGCATACATGCATTATCTACGGACACAGACAATAGGGTGGTGAAGGCTTGGGGCAGGGCAGGAACTGGATAGAGGGGAGCAATGGGAGGAAAATGGGGGAACATCTGTAATACTCTCAACAATAACGATTTAAAGAAAAATAAAAGCAGAAAAAAACAAACACAAATGGAAAATGCTGAGTTTCCATAACTTTGAGTTTGGCCAGGAAACGGTGCTTTGAAATCCTATTCATTCACTCAGCACCTGTTCCTCACAAACTTACTGAGTGCCAGAGGGTGAGAAGTCCCAGGAGGCAGGTATCCTCCGGCAGTAGCACTCAGATGGGGACAATGGAAAGAATCATGAAACCACGCTCAATGTTAACTTCTGAGAGAGAAAGACCAGGGGATCTGAGAGGCAGGAAGAGTACGTGCAAAGGCGCCTGGACTAGGCATCTCATTAGTTGGGCCAGAGATTGCAACACGTGGTGGGAGGTTAGAGGGGAGAGGGCTCGGTCACAAGGAGGACAGGCCAGGTTAGGGTTACCTGTGGGACACGAGGCCTCACAGTCCAGTCTCAGTGGTGGAGTCGGGGGAAGAGGCAAAGCTGAAGACTCTCGACAGGTAGACAGGCAGCTGACATTGGAAGCTGTGGTGCCAGTGAGCCCACCTGCGGGGAGAGGAAGGATAGGTAGGAGCACCAGGGGCCTGAGGCCAGCCCACATGCCCTGCTCTGACTGCTCTTCCAATCCTCAGGGGATGGAGCCACGGCCCACCTGGAAACAGGTGGGTTCATCAGGAGCCGGCCTGGGGTCTCCCACCCAGACATCCAGTTCCACTTCCTGCCGTCCCAAGTGATTGACCACGGGCGTGTCCCCACCCAGGAGGAGGCTTACCAGGTGAGCAGACAGTCTCATCTTTTCCATCTTCCCCCCTGCAGCAGGGCCTTCAGGGTGGGGAGTGCACAAGCCTGTGCCCCGCCCTGCAGCTGCTCAGTACGTCTCAGCTTAGGGCCGATGCTCTTGGTACTGAGCACTAGCAATGGACCAATGGCACCAACTCTGCCCAGGGCTTGCCAGCTCCTGAAAATTTTGGCCATTCAGTTACAGAGGCAGGAGTGATTCATCAAGGTGGTTTTTAATCACTGTGGAGGGTGGGCAGGTAAGATGCAGGCAGATGCTAAAATATAGCTGCTTTTAATTGACTTTGGATATAGAGGGCCCACCCACAGGAAACCTGGGACCTCTCTAAACTGAGTTGGGGGGCTGATGGAAGTGACTGCTCCCTCTGGATTCACCTAGGTGCATGTGGGGACCATGCGGGGCACGAGTGTGGGCTGGCTCAAACTGAGAAGTGCCAACCCCCAGGACCACCCTGTGCTGCAACCCAACTACTTGTCCACAGGTAACTCCCCAGCCACCTCTGTGTGCCCCAGGCCTGCGCCTGCTGGTCACTGACTGGACGACTGCCTTTATGGGTTTGTTCCTGAACCACATTTTCTGAGACACAAGTCACTCTCTGTCTTCCCTCCGCCCTATCATTCTAGTCTGTACATTTGCACATGCTGCTATGTGGTGCCCGGGGTCCCTTGAAGTAACCACATGAGGAGAGATGTGCAGCTTTCAAAGCAACTTACCGGAGGTTCAAGGCGGCGGCCTGGCTGTGTACACACAGCTCACAGAGCACTTTTCCTGCTGTGACTGAACATCCTTTAAAAGCGAATTCTATCCCCGGCCTGCCTCTCTGCACACAGCAACAATGGGCGCTCCCCATCCGGCAGGTCATGCCCAGTAATAACGTGCGGGGCCCTCACAGCCACGCGGTGGCAGAGGCAAGGTGTGAGGTATGATTCCTAACGTGCAGATCAAATCCAGATCCCCGATTCACACCCGGGGCCTCTGAGGCAAGCTGTGTCCGTCTCGCATGCTCTCTGTTTGGGCTTCATGGGACTCTGCTTGGTTGCACGTCACCGCCTGTGGGTAGGGCAGGAACTGGATAGGCCCCAAGCAGCCTGGTGGCCGGCACCTCCGCGTCCTGACCGGTCTCCCCTCGGGCAGCTGACTGAGCCTCTCCCGGCCCAGAGTCTGCCTGCAAGGCCAGCATGGTCAGAAGACGCTCACCTGTGTCTTCTCCTCCACAGAAGCCGACATTCACGATTTCCGTAATTGTGTGAAGCTGACCAGAGAAATTTTTGCCCAGGAAGCCCTGGCACCGTTCCGGGGAAAAGAGCTCCAGCCAGGAAGCCACGTGCAGTCCGATGAAGAGATAGACGCCTTTGTGCGGGCGAAAGCGGACAGCGCCTACCACCCCTCGTGCACCTGCAAGATGGGCCAGCCCTCTGACCCCACCGCCGTGGTGGATCCGCAGACCAGGGTGATTGGGGTGGAAAACCTCAGGGTGGTCGACGCATCCATCATGCCCAGCGTGGTCAGCGGCAACCTGAATGCCCCCACGATCATGATCGCAGAGAAAGCAGCTGACATCATCAGGGGGCGGCCTGCACTCTGTGACAAGGACGTCCCTGTGTACAAACCCAGGACCCTGGCCACCCAGCGTTGAGGCAGTCACTGCCTGGGAAGCCCCCCAACCAGCCAAGAGAGCCCTTGCTCCAAATGCTCTTTCCTGAAACTCTCTAGAATGTTAGGGTTCAATGGCAGAGAACTGGACAATTTCTTAAGAAGTGAGACCAGTCCGGTCAGTGAGCCAGGCTCCTCTCCCCCTGCCTGGTGCTGTGGGCCTTTGGGGAAAGGCCAGCATTCTGGCAGGAGGCCCGTGGAAGACTCGGCTCCTACCTGGGTCCCCTCCAACCTGGGGCCTGCTGCCTTCCTCCTTCCTGGTGGGGCTGGAGGAAGGTGTCCTCTCCCAGGCCCCTCAGAGAGCAGGCTCTGCTCAGAGGCTGGGTGCTGCCTGCTCCGAGTGGGCACCCCCCACCTTGGGCTGAGCTGTGGCTGAGACCAGGAGTCCTGCCGACGTTAGGGGGTGCAGCCGGGACTTGTGCCTAAGCCTGCAGTGCCCGTTCAGAGGGAGCGCTGCCTGCGGGGAGGGGTGAGGGACAGCACCAGCCTCTCCACTCTCCTCGGCTCCCTGATCTCACCCCCAGAGGGAGGCACGAGCTGGTGCTCAGAGGGGCCGGCAGCCCCCTGCCTGGTTCTTACTGAACACAGTCAGCCTGACGAGAGGATTTCTGGGTCTTGTTCAAGGAGAGAAGTGTCTGCAAAGACCCCTCGCCACTACAGGTTTCACGACTTGGCATTTTAGATGAGTTTCTTGTTACCAGGAAACCTGGAACCCAGAGCAAACCCCACATACCAGACCTCGCTCCATGCCAGGCCGTGAAGACACTTTCCCCCGGCGCTGGGCAAGGCCGGCTCATTCTCATTCTCCAGGTGTCCATGGGAACAGAGCAGGACGGGCTGCGACGGGCCGAAAAGGTGGTCAGTAAAACTGTGCGGCCTGGTCCTGCAAAAATGCGATTGAGAGAGAAAAGGAAATGGTCAGATTTGGGTTTGGGGTGGTGGGAAGAAAACCAGATACAGGCAGCATTGAAAACAGTCCTTTGATCTTTAAATTTCTCCTAATTCAATAATGTAATCCAATAATTTATTTTGAACTGAGATATCTTTTCCAGACTGTTCTTACAAGGTAATAAACTAAATGCATTTTGGATTGATGTTTTTAAAGTTATTCAAAGCCACAGTCTGTGGCAGGGAACGAAAGAATTGCTATGTGGACGTCTGCCGTGCTGGGCCCAGAATAAGGGAGGGAGGGAAATGAGACATTCCGGCTTCTCCCAGGACCAGAGTGGATGGAGGTGGCTTGGAGGCCTGACAGCCACACGTGTGTTTCTGAGAAAGACCTTCCAGAAAGACAGGAGCAAGAAAACCCCCTCTCCTTCCGTTAAGTCGTACCTGCGTCCTGCTTTATTTTCTGTTTCACGCAAGGATCAGGGAAGAAAATTCTACATCTGCCACGAGATTTCTCCTAGAGAGGCTGCCGCCGTGGCCCGGGGCTGCCATCCTCGGGGTCTGGGAGCCACCTGCAGGGGCGAAGGAGCAGCAGGAGTGCGGGTGCGGGTGCCAGCCCACTGCTCCGAAGGCCAAGAAGAACAAGTTAGGTGCGTGGGGTCCGGGTGACGGCACTGACCTCGGTGCTGGTATGGCAGGTGCACGGCCATTCAGTTCTGCTATCGTGTGTTTCGGGGATGGTCCCGTCTCCAAGACAGTGGCTTGTTGCTACCGTGGCTGTGCTGTAAGTTAAGCAAATAACACATCCGCGGCCCCCTTCCCACTCTTGCATTCAGGGCCTTGTTCCTACGATCACACAGTTTAGCCAGCACAGAAATAAGTTTCCAAAGAGAAGACTGAGAGTCACATGTCAGAAACCCACAGGGTCAGACCGGGGATGGAATATTCTGACTCAGAGCAGCGTCCCCTGGGTCCCGACAGCCGAGCGCTGTGGCCGTCAGGGCAGAGTGAGCAGTGGCCACGTCACAACCACCAGGCTGCCTTGCAAGTTCCACTGCCACGGGGACCCTGCCGTCGGAGGGAGGGCTGTTGTCTGAGGAAGCCAGAGGGGCAGAAGGTGCCGACCAGAGGTGGGGCGAGGAGCCAGCCAGGCTGCTGCAGAGGCTGGGCCGCACTGAGCCCCAGGCCTGCCCCTCAGTCTCGCCTGCCCCCCAAAGTTCCCAGGAGACAAGGCATATCATTTTAGAGAAATAAAGGCTTTTTAACAAAGGAAAGCGTAGCTGGAGTCTGTTTTGAGTGGGGGTAGACTGCCCATTAAACCCCTGAGCAAAAGCCTGCAGTAGCTAAAAAAAATGAATGTAATTGACAAAAAATGGTTTAAAAGCATAAAAGCTGCATTTGTGTCCAGGGTCCAGGCTCTGAGGAGCGCTGACCCCTCTGAAGAAGCCTGTTCTTAGGCCGATGAATCAGCAGACGGCCTCCCTGACCGAACGAGGGCTGACACACGGGTAGGAGCAGCTGCCCGGGGAACGACCTCCTTTTCCCAGCGCACCAGCAAGAACCGGCATTTCCACACATTCAGGCAGATTCTCCTCTCCAGCCAAACCACGTCCCTCCACCCACAGGTCACTTCCCATTTCCACTGATCAACTCAACATCAGATCTAACACCCAGATCCGTTTCTCTTAAAAATCAGGGGGAAAACCACACAACCTCTTCACTGGCCGGTCTCGAGAACCAGGCAATCCTCCCATTTCGTCGCCTGTCACCGTCCTCAAGACCACGCTCCGCTTGTTCCCATGGTGGAAGCGAGGGCCCCAGGCCTGCTCCTCAGTCTCCCCTGCCCTCGGAGTCCCCAGGCGATGAGACATATCATTGTAGAGAAGTAAAAACGTTTCCACAAACGAAAGCGTAGCTGGAGTCTGTGCTGAGCTGGGTCGTCGCGTAAAGGAGCTGGAGCTGTGCGTGACCATTTTTTAGAACAAATTGACCGCCCGCCCGTCATAACAACAAAAACCTTTGTAGGAAAGCAGATGCTTGGCAAAGACACTTACTCCCATGGGGTAGCCTATTAAAGCAACAGCAACATGAAATAAGCGGCCCTGGTTTCTTTCACCTGCATGGGGTCAGCAATAAATGCGGCTTGTCCAGCAGGTCAAGCCTACACTGTGCACCGCGAGGCGCTTCCCCGCCTGCACCACGCCCCCTTCCTGGCCTTGGGCTAATGCCGCAACATCTTGGAATCGACCTGGGAAGCACCATCCGGCCAAGTCCAGATGGAAGCCACAGAGACAGTTGTTAACGAGGCTCCTGCTTGCTGATAGTTACGTCAGAGCTGCCATTCCCATTTTGTGACACTATGAAAAACACAGGTTAAAGAAACTAAAGACTACTCCTGGGGACACAGCAAAGTGACATTTTTTTTAGGGGACGGAAGGGGAACCAAAAGAAAAGACGTTTAATCATAAAACTTTCCTAAAACAAAGGGGGAAAAAAACATGCTCTACAACTTCAAATTTTTCTTACAAAGAAAAATTTAATGTTAGGTGAGAGGTTGAACCAGGCTTAAAGCAGACAGAGATTAGGAGTGGTGCAGCGCATTAAAAATGCCCATTTTTAAGTACTGACTGGAAAACATCATTGCCTATCCCAGAAGAGTCAGTCCTGGTAGGCAATGTTGGACCGGTGATGGTAAGCCACACAATAAGACCAATACCTAAGAGAGAAACAGAGTCCGAGGAGGTGGTAACAGTGGTTTAGCCCTTTAGGAGAAACAGTGCTCTCTGCAGCTGGTATCAAGTTACCATAGGCATCGACGGAGCGACGAGAGTAAGAAAAAAATCTACACAATTACAGAACTGCCCTCACAGAGTGCCCGCCCCTTCCAAGCTCTCACTGGCAAACGCCAGCTCTTTGCAAGGAGAGCTCCCAAATACAATAAAATTATTACGCAATTTTCTTCTGAAGAACATTTTACATTTAATAAAAAAAAAGGATTTACGTCAAGAAATAATCATTTACAAACCTTGAAGAGTTTTTGCCTGGATCTGGAGTAAGAATGTCTTAAGAAGAGGTTTGTAAGGTCTTCATAACAAAGTATTGTTATTTACAAAAAAAGAAAATCAACATTAACAGGATGTCTATTTAATATTTAAAAATTTTGAACCCAAAAATTGCTACCTGGTTTTTTTTTTTTTTTTTGACTGCAGAGAATCCCTGCCAAGGTAACTTGACAAAGTCAGCATTATTCCGTGAACAGAAAAGGAAGCCTTGCCGGGTCTAACGATCCCAAAGTGGGTTTTCTCGGGAAGTACAATCGCAGTGGGAGTGCATTCTAGTGAAAACGTCAGCCCTCATTCAGTTGCATATAAAAGCCCTCGGAGAGAACACACAGTACAGCAATGTTTTGTAAAAAGGCAACGATACTATTTGTCCGGACCCCGATCTTCTAACCCTCTAAGGATCGCGTCACTTTGCTTCCTTCACCCCCCCGCCCCCATCATTCCTCACTAGTATTTCCTAAGACAAGCAGCCTCACCCTTCCCAGGGGACACGAGCAGAGGGACTTCATTCACCTGTAAGAACGTTCTGTGTGGGCAGGTGAGAAAACCCACCACGAGGAATGCCACGGGGTCAGTCTTGTCCTGAACTTACGGGGAAGGGGGTTACAGTAAAACCGCCCGTGGTGGAGCAAAAGGTACCCTCTCAAGTCACAGCACTCTTGCCCAGGGAGAAGACCGCAAAGAGTCATCGGGTGTATCTTATAGGGACTCAAAATACTTTAGAAAAATCTATATAGTGTCAAGTTCTTTTGAACTTAAAATTTCACCCCCAAAAAGATTTTTCACTGAATAAATGAGAATTGGCTCAATTTCTCCTACTTCCGTGTAGTCCGAGTAAAAATACCAATGATTTCTAGATTTCAGTGGGGGGAACTACAATTATTAGGACCCATGGATATTGCTGCAGTTCAAATACGATACAATAATTACAAAATATAGACCATCTCTTTACAAATACAAATTATCGTATATTACAAGTCATGTACAGTAAGTCTAAGTTTTAAACAAACTAGCGTATCTAAGTTGACCTGGCTGCGAGTGCTTTAGGATTCCAGTTTACGGCTGCCCTTGGCCTGACAGTCAGAAACCGACCATCTGCGCGGCACGCTCCCGTGCAAACTGGTGTCACGGGACAGAAAACCTTGCCTGTGAGGTCCTGCTTCCCTCTGCGGAGGACGGCTGGTGGGTAGCCCTGACTGACTGTGTTTCAGAACAGGAGCCAGGAAGCAAGGTGTCTGGGAGGGATATGCTGGGCCCAGTGAATGTCTGATATGCTAGACCGATGGCTGAGGTAATGACACAGGCACGGTGATCGTCATCACCTTTAACCTTCCCCACCGTGCCTGTGGGCGGTGGGCATGGGCAAGTGCCCCGCGTGGGCTGTGAACAAGAGGGCAGGCTTGCCCGGCGCCCATCCTCCGTGCATGGGTGGGACCTGCTGTCCCCACAGCTGGGGCTCAGCTCTGAGCACAGCTGTTCCCTACAGGTTTATGGCTTCCTTGAGGCATGACATCACCTGCACAAAAGTCTAATTGAACACGGACTTCACACTAGTGCCTAAACTTTCCTAACTATGAGGCACTTTTTCCCTGGCCCTCGGGCACCCCACCTGAGGGCAGAGCTAGTCCGCCCCCCCCTGGGGGCTACAGGGTGGTGATGCAGATCATTTCATCTGCTAGGTCCTCCTCCTCCCTCCCCAGGTCTGGCTCTTCGTCGCTGTAACCTGGCCCGAAGTCCTGGAGCTCGTAGTCCTGGCGGCTCGAGTTGGGGCTCACGTCCCCGTTAGCCCCGGGGTGCACGGTCCCGTTCAGCAGGTGGCTGGCTGCACTCTCCATCTCGTCGATGGTTAGGTCACAGGCATCGGCAATTTCGTGTTTTGTCGCCGACACAAATTTTGGGTCCCTTGCATACCGTCCTAAGCCTTCGGATATCAGGACCTGCGCAGGAAAGAGGATCGACAGCATGAATGGGCTGAAAAGCTTTTCGGGGGGACAAGGACAGAAAACTCACCTCAAGCACAACGGCACCACGCGGCCAGCCGTGTTCGCCAGATCTCGTGCTTGGTAACTACATGTCAGTGGACATGGCTTTGGCTTTGAAATATCACGAAGCTCAGAAACTATACAATTCAGTGTTTCTCAACCTTCTGGCCCTTTACATACAGTTCCTCATGTTGTGACCCAACCATAACATTATTTTCGTTGCTACTTCATAACTGTAGTGTTGCTACTGTTATGAATCATAATGTAAATATCTGATATGCAGGATGGTCTTAGGCGACCCCTGTGAAAGGGTCGTTCGACCGCCAAAGGGGTCGCGACCCACAGGTTGAGAACCGCTGCTATACATAGCCCAACAAGAATGAAACCCACTGGGGAAGACAAGACTCTCTTAGTGTCAACGGGTAACAGTCGCAGGAACAGCACATGTGACCCCAGGGGCAGCTGTTGAGGCTCGGCAGTGACTAGTGGGTCTACCAGCGATGGCCACCCTACGACACGCGTGTCCGAGGTGACACGCGAACTCATTTTTTTGGTTGATTTTTCTTTGTGAAATGGCATTTAAATATATAAAATAAATATCAACAATATAAGTCTTTGTTTTACTATGGTTGCAAATATCAAAACATTTCTATATGTGACACGAGTTAAGTTAGGGTTTTTCAAAATGCTGACACGCCGAGCTCAAAAGGTTCGCCATCACTGGTCTATACTCATGCTGTCGGCACCATCCTTGCTGCTAAGAAATGGTGGAGCCACATCAGAAGCGAGGTAGCCCGGCTCCAGACCCTCCCGCCCTCGGCCCTCCGCCCACCGCCCGCTCCTGCTCTGCGTGGTTCTCAGGACGCCACCCCTGCTGTGCCTGTCCCAGGCCGGCCCTCCCTGGGCAGCTGGTGAGCTACACTCACAGCCTCCACCAGGCTGTCCGCGCTCCTCTGCTTGTCGCTGTTTTTGCTGTGGAAGCTGCTGGGGACGGTCAGGCTGGCTGGTGTGAAAGTCCGGTAGGAGATTCCAGGCTCGTCCGTGTACCAGGAGCTGCGGTGCAGGGAGGGCAGGCTGCCGTTGACCTGGTCCAGGGCCTCCGAGGGCTCCACCTGGATCAGGGGCGTGTAGCACGGCGCCCAGTCCCGATACGGAGGGGTCGCTGGAGGGGTGGCCCACGAGCGGGTCGAGTGGCTCGGCGAGTACTTCTGGGCTCTGCTTGAATCTAGGCCTGCGACTGCCATGACCTGAGGAGACAGGGAGCGGGGAGACGGGGTCCTCAGCGGCCTGGGCACGGGCCTCGCACCACGGCCCAGCACGAGGCACTGCTCTGCGGGGCAGCCCCGGACAGGACCGTGAAAGCGCGCCGAGTCAATCAAGTGATCGGCAGTGGGGAGTGGGCTTTCTAACAGACTATATTTTCTTTTCCCCAAATCCATTTCCTATGACTGTTCCCAAGGAAAACTGAAATTGTTTCAGAACGACGAAGCATCAGGGAAGACACACAAGCCGGGCGTGTGAACACGGCAGCCAGGCACTTGGTTGAAATGTGGAAGTACATTCAGGGCAAGCGCGCAGGGACGCCCAGCTGTTCTCTGCTCTAGCGCACGTGCCCACGGCGGTCCCTGCCTGCTCTGAAGCCCCGGGCACAGGCCTTGCTTCTCCACCTCTGTGGCACCACGGCTCTGCACAGGGCACTCCAGCTCTGCACAGGGGAACTCAGCCCAGTCTCATGGGCAGCTCAGGCCCTTGGCCACATGGAAGCCATGCCCGCCAGGGAGCCGTGCAGACAGCCGCTGGGCCTGCCGGGCGCGCAGGGAGGGAAGGCATCGCGGCATTCGATGGCCTGGGCCTTCCCAGGCTTGTCCTTCGTCCCGGACAAAGCAGGACACAGATCAAAATGAACGTAAACACTGAGGACAAAGGAGTACGGAGCGGCAGAGAGACGCAAATAGACAATCGGAAATGGCAGCTACCGCTCACGTGCTCCGGACACTCAGGATGGGAAACCTGCCCGAGTGCTGGCTCCGTACATTCACAGAGTGGACGCCTGACCAGGTAGCCCCTCCGCCTGCCCCCCCCCCCCCACCCCACCACTCGCACAGTGGACAGCATCTCTGATGTGCTCTTTCAGAAAGAAGTCCGTGTCCTTGAGGCAAAGCCCTGGTGAGCGGCTCCGGCCCCCGCTCCCTCCTGTCCAGCACTCTCACTGTGGAGGGGTCCTTCTCCCTGGGCCACGCTCCCCTCGCAGGCAGGGTTGGGGGCTCACCCACCCCGTGAGCACAGAGCCCTGCCCACAGAGGGCTCCGTAAATGAAGGAAGAACCTCTCAGAGCAAATAAGGGCACTGCTGGCTGTTCAGGGTGGTCTAGTGGCCGCCACTCCCCGCGTTGTGAGCTGTACCCAGGCCCTGTCTTCATCGCTGAGGGAGACGTGGGGAGAAGTCGGTGCCTAGACGGAGAGCCCAGCTTGGCAGGTGGCAGCCTTGGACTCAAATGCCAGCGTGGTCACTCACCTCCCGTGTGGGCTCGGGCACTCACCTACCCTCAGTTATGTTTTCTCATCCATGTGATGGGGATGGTGACAGTGTCTATTCGCAGGGTTGTCACACAATGGAACCCAGTGTATGGGAGGGTTCTCTCCCTCCCCCTGGGGCTGGCAGCCAAGAGGAAGGGGGTGTCTGAGGGGGTCCCACACAGGGTGCCCATGGAGCCATCGGGCCAAGGCCCGGGGGCCGGCTCACCTGTTGCTGCATCAGGTGCAGAGGCAGGGCCGTGCGGTGGGGAAAGGTGGGGGACGGCGGGACCTCCTCCTGGCTGCTCTGCCGGCGCAGGCACTCGAAGTTGAAGGAGGATCTCCGATGCGCTGAGGGGGAAGCACAGGAGCAGCTGTGGAACCAGCTCTCCGGCAGGACGAGGGCCAGGAGTCCCGGTGGCCACCGAGGCCAGCGGGGAGCCCCGCAGGCAGCAAGCGATGGAGGGAGGATGAGGAAGAAGCCCACTGAGGTGTTTTAAGAAGTGCAAGCTGTTCTGCCACAGCCCCTGCCCTACATGTGGTGGGGACCAGGCATCGCAGGCAAGAGCACAGCCTCGCTCTGGAACCCATGGCCCCTGCCGACAGCCCGCTCACTCCCACCTCCAGGCTCCCTAAGCGTCTCTGGGCCTGAGGTACCTCCGGGTGCTCCTGCGTTCACACCTCTGCCTTAAAGGGAGGGACTCGCTACCTATCGGCTCAGCCAGGCAAGGAGAAGAGCCTTTTACTGGGGAAGAGCCAGCTTCTCCAGCACTGAGGACAAGACAAAAGAACAACTCGAACTTTAAAGAACGCGCTTATCGCTTTGAATAGAGGCTGATGCACAGGGTGAGCGAAGACAAGAGATCCAGAGCTTGCAGCTTCGTGGGGCGCCGGCACAGGAGAGCCATGTGGTCCAGGGTCCCCCAGCACAGGCCACAGGCCTCCCCCCGGGAAACCGCCACGGGAAGGGGAGGTGTTTCAGGAGCCCGCCTGGTCCCCCGAGACAGTGGGTGGCCCGGTCTCCTCAGCAGCTCCTTTTGTGATCTCTGCTCCCTGAGCTCACAGGGCCTGCTCAAAACGCCACCCCCTAATTCCTGAATGGGAAACTGCAGACACCAGCTGGTTCTGTGAGGCCCTGCCCCCAAGTGCGTGAAGCCCAGAGGAACAAGGCAGAGGGCACTGCGGGGCGTGCTGGGGCCTCCTCGTGGGACAGCCGCCTTCCACGCACCACGGGGACCGGATTTCTCAGTGTTCTAAGGAGGAACGCCTCCTTGGTAGCCCGTCCTAGGATCAGATCGGGGGGAAGGGGTGTGTGGAAACTCAGGGCCAGGAAAGGAAAACCACACCCCTCTCTCCCTGATAGTGCCTTTCGGTTTTGAAAAGGGGTCCACACACGCCCCCTTCATCTCCTCTGGTCACACCCATCTCTGCTGGAGGAAGTCACCCTCCTGAGGCTGAGAACATCGGCTGGGGAGCTCCATGCTCTCCCCGCCCAAGCTCTGAACCTGCAGGCAGTAAAACAAATAAAATACATTTTCTTTATTTGCCCTTGCAAATACAGAGGGCAGCTGCTCGTGTCCACTCGGTTCCTCACTTCCAAGGGGCAGCATCTGTGCACAGCGGGCATTAACGCAGCCGCCAAAGGGAGGGCCCGGGAAGGCCATGGACTCACAGGTACGGGCCTCCACCCAGCCTCACTGCATGTGCGTCATCCAGTATTTATGGAGGCCAGAAGTGCTGTGTGTTCAGGGTGCGAAATTAAATATTAACCATGGAAATGGGTCTGATTGCACGCCCAGCAGGGGTGTGGGCGCTGGAGAGAGAGGGCCCCGGCGCCACCCAGCCATGGTCGGTATTGTGTGTGCAGTTGGCAGATTGGGAGCCGATGTGTCTTGGCTATTTTTTGGTTACTGATTAAAGTCCTGTTCAAAAACATGCTTCACTCCTTAGAAACACCAGAAGTGGATATTTAACCATCGTCCAAATGCCCACATGTCCAAAATCAAACTGCCCAGCCGGGAGCTGGCAGGGCCGCTGCTGCCGGAGCTCCTCCCGGGGGTGACCCAGATCTCCGGGCAGCGCCAGTTATGCCCCCTGCACAGGAACACCCGGGGGGGCCCTAACTGGTTTGGCTCAGTGGATGGAGCATCGGCCTGCGGACTGAAGGGTCCCAGGTTCGATTCCGGTCAAGGGCATGTACCTTGGTTGCGGGCACATACCCAGTAGGGAGTGTGCAGAAGGCAGCTGATCAATGTTTCTCTCTCATCGATATTTCTAACTCTCTATCCCTCTCCCTTCCTCTCTGTAAAAAATCAATAAAGACAAAACAAAAAAAAACCCGGTGGGGCAGCAGCCAGGCCCTGGCCCTGCTCAGTGGGAAGGGATTCCCGGGCCCCATGATGGGACCCTACCCTAGAGCTCACCACCCAGACCAAAACCTGCCCCATGGGCAGAGGGCCCTGGCAGACCAGAGGCAAAGGCAAGAGGGAGGAGGGCGAAAAGGGGAGAAAGGAGACACCCAGGTGTGGCCTGAGGAGGCGGACACCAGGAACCCCAGGCACCCTGCACCCAGAGGCGTGGGCCTTGGCACAACAGACCTGCGCTAAGTCTAGCTCCATCCCTCCGCCCTGAGGGTGGTGACCCGACCCCCAGAGTGGCTCTGATAACAGCAGGGGTGCACATCTTGCCCACTGAGGGTGGGTCCCCAGCTCAAAGGCAAGGAAAACATGCAGAACAGCCCCTACAGGCCCTCCACGCTGGGCCACGCCAGGCCGCATGCCATCTCCTCTGCTCCTGGAGTCAGAGCAGCGCGGACGTGGTCTGAGCTCTAACACACGGGGCACGCTGAGACAGGAGAGCCGATCGGGTCTCCAACCAGGGCCTGGCCTTGAGACTCAGGTCCCCGACATGGCAGCTCCTCATCCATCACCACTTTCCCCCAACCCCCGGGGCCGGGGGAGAGGCACATGGTCTCTGGGAGGCTTCACCCCAAACAAAAGATCTGGCCTCACATGTTGGGGTGGGAGGTAGTAGGCGTCTCCTCGGAGATCTGTGGGAATCGTAGCAAATGGGCGAGTCGTCGTCTTCCAGGAAGCCTTGCGGGTGGTGGTAGCCCCGGGGCCGCTCGAAATCCAAGCTGCTGCCTGGGTGTCGGCTGTAGTAGCTGTAGTTTTGCCTGGTGGTCAAAAGGGCGAGAGGGAGAGGAAGGGGCATGTGAGCTCCCAGTTAACAGCTTCCCATTAGCTCAGACCCCCCGCCCACCCCTCTACAGTCCTCTCCCCCGCTCCACAGGCACAGCAGGACCAGCTGAGAACAAGGCAGCCCTCAGCTTCACAGAAGATTCTAGATGGAGGACAAGGGCTGGTCCAGGAAGGCAGGCCTGTGATGAATGGGGTGCTGGTGGTGTCCCCCAGGCCGGGGCAGCCTCAGGCCTGGGGCAGAGGTGGATTGCAGCTTTCCTGCAAGCTCGCGATTGCCTGCTCACTTCCTCCCCTACAAGCGCTCCGAGCGCCTGCCCTCAGCCAGGTGCTGGGCTGGGAACCAGGACACGAAGATGCATGAAGCACGGTCCCTCCCCTCAGGAGCTGAGCTGATGCCACATGCACGACGTCTGGTGCAGACTGAAAAGGCCAGCGCCGGAGGAGAGGGACCCAGGTGGGCTGTGCTTTTGGGGCGTGGGCACCTCAATGTCACTCGGGGAAGAAGCGGAGCCCTGGAGCAGGTCCTTGAAGAGAGGGTGGGACTAGGCCAGCCGAGCGGGAAAGGGGGCCAAGTGGTGGGCGTGGGGTGTAAGCGCAGTGACGAGGGAGGTCGGGCCCACTTGGTCAGGATCAGTGGTTCTGGAAGTGGGGCTGGCGGGAGGGACTGGGGG